AAAAAAAAAAAAAAAAAAAAAACTAGCCAGGCGGGATGTGTCCTTCTCCCCTGGGCGGTGAGTATTGTTTGAGTCCAGGAGTTCCAGAGCAGCCTGGGCAACATAGCAAGACCTCATCTCTCCAAAAAAAAAACTAGCTGGGCAAGGTGGTGCATGACTATAGTACAAGCTACTCAGGAGGCTGGGGGATCACCTGAGCCCAGGAGGCTGAGGCTGTGATGAGCTGTGATCATGCCACTGCACTCTGACCTGAGGGGCACAATGAGACCCTGACTCAAAAAACAAAAGGCCTGAGATTCCATGTGTTTTCCGGATATCTTTGAGTCTCTGTGGCCCCAAAGGCCTGACTATGAACTTCTGGCTTTTATCACCTACACCTCTGACCCAGCAGGCAAGTCTCCCTAACTAACAGCCAGCCCAGCCGCACCCCACCTAACTTTAACCTAATGCCGTCCTTAACCTAATGGCTTTCACCTCCCTGCCAGCCTGTGGAATTATTCAAACAAGCCAATCACATTCTCCTATAGGAACAACTGTTCACCCCACCCTTTTGTTACTACAAAGCCTGTCTGCTCCCGAGCGCACCACCCCCACGTAGCTCTGCATGGTGTGTGGTGTCCTTCTCCCCTGGGCAGTGAGTATATGAGACTAATAAACTCATGTCCACCTCATCTGTCATCGGGAGTTGTGTTCTTCCATCTCATACTATTTAGGGTGGGGATCCCTCCTTTACCAACAGGGTAAATAGGAAGTGGTCCGGCCAGGCTCAGTGGCTAATACCTGTAATCCCAGCACCTTGGGAGGTGAAGGTGAGAAGATTGCCTGAGCCCAGGGGTTTGAGACCAGCCTGGACAACTTAGCAAGACTTTGTTTCTACAATAAATAAAAAAATTAGCCGGGCAAGGTAGCATGCTCCTGTAGTTCCAGCTACTTGGAAGGCTGAGGAGGAAGGGTCATTTGAGCCCAGCAGGTTGTGACTGCAGTAGCCATGAGCATGTCACTGCACTCCAGCCTGGGTTACAGAGTGAGACTCCAAATCAAAAAGCAAACAAACAAATAAGCAAAAACAAAAATAAAAAAAACACTGTCAGTCCAGGGGTGGCATGGCCTTCCATAGTATGCAGAACCCAGACTTCCTCTATCTCCTTGCTTCACCATTCAAGGCCTCTATCCTAAGGTAATGTCATAGCCCAAGATGGCTGTTGGTGTTCCAGTCATCACATCCACATTCCAACAATGGGAAGTAGAAAGGCACTCCCTTTTCCTCAAAGTTATACTTATCACTTCTGCTCACTCCTGTTAGCCAGAACACAGTCACATGGCCTCACGTGGCTGTAAAGTAGGCTGGGAGATGCAGCTCTTTATTCCAGGAAGCTATATGTCCAGCTAAAGCTAAATATCAGTAATGTATGGACTGGGCTCAAGTGTTAAAGCGTGGGCCTAACGTGGGCCCTGGGATTATTACTTTTTTTTTTTTGAGTTGGAGTCTCCTTCTGTCACCCAGATTGGAGTGCAGTGGCACGCTCCCAGCCACCGCAGCCTCGACCTGCTGGGCTCTGGTGATCCTTCCGTCTCAGCCTTTCAAGTAGCTGGAACTACAGGCACGCGCTACCATGCCTGGCTAATTTTTTATTTATTGTAGAGACGAGGTCTCACCAAGTTGCCTGGGTAGGTCTCAAACCTGCGGGTTCAGGCAATTCACTCACCTCGGCCTCCCAAAGTGCTGGGATTACAGGCTGAGCCACCGAGCCCGGCCGGCCCTGGGATTATTAACTAGTACTGAGTTAAGACCCCTCCTGTCCTCTTTTTACTGGGAGACTGCATTTTCTTGAGTCTCAAACGCAAGCGATCCTCCCGTTCAGCCTCCCAAAGTGCTTGGGTTACAGGTGTGAGCCACCGTGCCCGCCTGGCCCGGGACTACATTTTCCATCAGCCTCTTGTCCTCTCCCTCATTGACCCCACTGGCATGTCGAGTGAATGCTGTACTAGCTGCCCGCGGTGTTGCTGTCCCTCATGTCTCTGCCCCAACGGCCTCCTCCCCAGGACAGAGCCTCAAAGACACTGACACCAGCATCGCCCCCCATGCAAACCTTCCCTTGCATACAGACACAATCCCCGCATGCATTCCATACATGTTCGCTAAATACTGATCAGGCGAGACTTTGTGCTGGAGCCTGGGGCTGTCCCGGTGGACCAGACTCCTCCGCTGCTGGCCCTGGAGAGCTCCCTGCTGGGCAAGGGTGGGCAGAACAGGACAGGGTGGAAAGAGGAGAGTCATTGCCAGGAGACGGGGTCGGGGGTTATTTATTTATTTATTTATTTCCAAGTCGGGGTCTCACTCTGTTGCCCAGACTGGAGTACAGTGGCACAATCACAGCTTGCCACAGCCTCGACCTCCTGGCCTCAAGGGATCCTCCCACCTCAGCCTCCTGAGTAGCTGGGACTACGGGCGCATGCCACCACACTTGGCTAAGTTTTTGATTTGGCGTAGAGACAAGGGCTCACCATGTTGCCCAGACTGGTCTCGAACTCCTGGGCTCAGTGATCCTCCCACCTCAGCCTCCCAAATTGCTGGGATTACAGACAAGAGCCACTACACCGGGCCTCCAGTGGTTACTTACAGGAGCACTGGTTAGGCTCTTAGCCAATCAGCACATTCCATTCCTCTGGCCACAGGGACTGGTTGTGGATGGACATGTGACCAAAGTTAGGCCAATGAGAAGGAAGCTTGGGACTTTCTACTGAAGGGGCGAATGCCTGTCGCAGCTGGGGAAATCTGAACATCACACAGAGAAGCCTTCTGGTCAAGTCGAGAGGTAGAGAGAGAATCCATTTGGAAGACATAATTTGAGAGCCTGTATCCAGCTATTCCTGAAAGATACCTCCCCCAACTTTTCCATTCATGAGCCAATAAATGTCCTTCTTTGTATTAACTGGCAAGTTAATGGTTTGGGTGTTCTGTCCTTTGCAACTGAAAGAGACCTGCCAGAAACTCAAACATCTTGGTTCTTATTCCTGCTTCTCTGGGGCTAGGACGGGTGCAGAAGCTCAGTTTCTCTGGGGCTAGCCCCGTTACCCTGCTAGAGAGACGGAAGGACTTGGTTCCAGCTAGGGGCCATCTGTCTCACGAGGAGAACTGGGGACAGGGTCTGTTGTCCTGTTCTGGCCAAAACCAGGAATGTGCACACTTCATACAAATAATCTCATTCCATCCTTATGCCACCATGAGGTGAGACAAACATCACCCCCACTTTATAGGGAGGGAAACTGAGGCCCAAAGAAGTGGTGGAGCCCAGATTCAAGCCCAGGCAGACTGGCACCAGGCTCACATCCTTAACCACCAGGCTGGTGCTTGAGGACGTGTCATTTCCTTTCGGCCACCGTGGCCATTTGGGGAGGGGGGTGAGTGGTTGCCAGCGAGTCCAGCCGGCAGAGGGGCGGAGGTGCCCAAAGGGCAGACCTGTCAGGAGCCCCCAGGCTGAGTCCAGGCCTCCCCTGACCGCTCGCCACTGCCCACCCCAGCTCCTCGGGGACTCCCCTGTGCCCCAAGCCTCCCCCGCCACCGCCATCCCCGCCCCTGCTCCTGCGGTCGGCCCAAATACCAGACAGGGCGAATCTCAGCTTTTCCCCAAACATTCCTTGTTCCCGTGGCCCGGCCCAGGCTGGCTGAGGTTACGAAAGCAGAGATGGGGTGGTAGTGGGAGGGGGGGGACCGAGGGGATGGGCTGGCTTGTCCTCCCCACTCCATCCGGACTCTGCCCGCCTCCCCAGGGCGGGGAAGGGGAAGGGCCGGCCCCCCCAGGCCCTCGGAGAACAGGCTGTGGGGGGGGCGGCCTGGGCCGAGAGATGGGGGGCGGTGGCGGCCACGGCAGAGGCTCCAGGAGGTGACCGCCTGGTTTCTATTAGGGAGCCCTGGTCGGCAGCTCGGGCGAGACGGCGGAGTCAGGGCTGGCCATGGTGAGCGTCCGAGGGTGGGGCTTGCCAACTGGTTGTTGCCATCCGAGCCTGACCCCAGTCCTTCCTTGGAGGAGGGGATGCTCCAGTCGCCATGGCGACTCGCTGACCCCTCCCCTCCCCTCCCCTCCCAGCGGCTGAGCCTGTTGCTTCTCCTGCTGTGGCCAGGACCCCCGCCCACCCCCGGCATGGAGGACGCCACCTTCCCCCACCTGGGGGAGAGCTCGCAGCCCCCACCCCGGGCCTGCCCTCCCCGCTGCTCCTGCCCCCGGGCTGACACTGTGGACTGCGACGGCTTGGAGCTTCGGGTGTTCCCGGACAATATCACCAGGGCGGCGCAGCACCTCTCCCTGCAGGTGGGGCCTGGGAGGGGAGGGGCATGGGGGGACCCAGAGGTGAGAGCAGCTGGGCAGGGTGGAGGCTCCCTGAGCAGGAGGGGTGAGGAGCTGGCCATGAGGGGGTCGTGGGCTGGCCAGAGGGGTCCCGGTAGAGACACGGGAGCAGGGAGCGGGGAATGCTGAGGGTTGGGGGGTCCCGGGGTTGTCCAGGGTCCTGGGGAGGGAGCATTAGGGTCAACGGCGGGGGTGTTGGGGGTCAACATTCTAGCAGTTGGGGGCTCATTTGGGTTGATGGTAGGGTGGTGAAGGTCTTCGTTGTTGTTTTTTTTTGAGTTGGAGTCTCACTCTGTCACCCAGGCTGGAGTGCGGTGCACTCTCACAGCCACCCCGGCCTCAACCCGTTGGGCTCCGGCGATCCTTCCGCCTCAGCCTTCCAAGTAGCTGAAGCTACAGGCACGTGCCATCACGATCGGCTAACATTTTGGCTTATTGTATAGTCGGCGTCTTGCCGATTTGCCCAGGCTGGTCTCAGGCCCGTGGGCTCAGGCAATCCTCTCGCCTCGGCCTGCCAAAGTGCTGGGATTACAGGCATAAGCCACCGCGCCCAGCCGGTCTTCATTGTTATGGGACTGTTTGGGGTCACTGGGATGGGGCATTCGGGGTTGTGGGGTGTGGGAGAATTTGGGGGTCCAGTGTGGGGGTGTTTGGGGGTCAATGTCTTCGCAGTTATGGGGTCACTTGGGGTTGATGGTAGGGTGATGGAGTGTTGGGGTTGAGTGTGGCCATGTTGGGGTCACCGTCTTGCAGCTCTGGGTCTGGTGGGTGTCTGGGGTCAACTATGGGGGTGACGGGCTGTCGGGGCTTGTTTAGGCTGACGGAGAGTGGAGAACCAGGGCTTGGGGTCACCAGGGGCCCAAGGGTCATGGGGGCAGGGGTGTGAATGACCCCTGCCCCCCGCCCCCCAGAACAACCAGCTCCAGGAGCTCCCTTACAACGAGCTGTCACGCCTCAGCAGCTTGAGGACCCTCAACCTCCACAACAACCTCATCTCCTCGGAGGGTGAGGGGCCCGTGTGGGGACAGAGGCCCGCCCCCCTCCGCGGCTGTGGGCAGCCCTGTGGCACTTCCCAGAAGGGCCCTTTGCTGAGCACGATGGAAACTCAGGGGCTGGGGGGGCTGTGGCTTTTGA